TCTTTCCCTGGAGAATATCATTAAGTCTTTAAGAAAACTGGCCATGGGGCTCTGCCAGCTTAACTTTGGTTAAGCTCGCCTGTTGCTGAGCCAGGGTGTAGTGTGGTAGCTACTGAATGGGAAACAGGAGGATGGGAGGGTGGGAACCCATGAGACCATCAGGGCTGTCAGCCAAACCAGGAGAAAGTCTGCAAGTATATAGGCTCCAGACATACCCTGAATGGTTGAGAAGCAGGAGCAAAATCAGGAGTTCCTGCAGGTTGGAGTACATGCATCTGTGCAGTTCTTAGATTCCCATACTGCCAACCACTGCATGGCTCTGTCACTGTGGGAGGTGCTCACTGGGCTTTAAAGGCAGTGTTTGAGGACTGGTCTCTGAGACCCCAGAAAACCAGGAGTGTCAGGTAGGGAGAGAAGCTGGTAGAGAGTAGAAGCAGCTCTGGACAGAACCTACAGTGAGACCCCTGGCCCCATTCCCTTGCTGTTCCCACCTGAGGCAGCTGGCTAGTAAGCTGGTGCTGAGGCAGTCAAATGAGAAATGCCATTGCCTTACTCTGGCTGTAGAGGGGCCAGCCTGCTCAACACCAGTCCACTGGGGCACAGAGAGCAAACCCAAATTTCCTACCTGTGAAGATGAGCCACTCCACCAGCCGGTCAAGGGCTACCAACTTGAGCTTTTTGCAGAACTTTTTGTGCACAGGCCAGTTGGCCCGCTGGCACTCAGGGCTGCAGTAGTACACATTTTGGCACCTGGAGGGAGGGTGAGAGAAGAGGAAGGAGTAGGGGCACCAGGCTGCAGCAATACATATCCTGGAAGCTGATGGAGAAGGGTATCACAGACAGAGCTTGAGAGAACAGCCTCAAGGAGTCTGGTCTCCCCTGGATTTCAGTGCATTCTTGCCTCTGCCAGCCCTGCATGGGATAGGTGACCCACAGACATCAGATTCACCCTACAGAACATCAATGGGGTGTGATGACAGAGTGGTTAAGGTGGTTTGCTACGGTACCGGAGTTGGACCCCTGCTCCAGACTTATGCCAAGGGCAGCTTGGAGCAGGCCTAGTTATCAGCAGCTACTTGGTCAGTCAGGTGACTGGGTGTGAAACCAGCCCACCTGCACCCTTGGGTGGTATTGTTTTGGGAAGCTGGTGTGCCAAAGGGCTGCAAGGCTCAGGATGACCTTGCGACCATGTAACTTCTTTGGCCAGGAATCAGGCTCTGAGATATGACAGGACAAAAACTAGATGCAGCTGCTGCTCAGGGGTGTAATATCCATTTCAGTGTCACATTCAGAAGCCCAGTACAACCCATGTGTATCTGATAGGAATTAATCCTCCCCTTCTCAAAGCCACTACAAAGAAGTTGAGAGCATTTTTACTTGCAACAGGGAATGGGTCTTGCTTGGTGCTGTGGGACAGGCCTCTAAAGCCATGCTCACCCCCTCCACTTCACTGGGGGACCAACTGTACCTCTTGCATCGACGGAGGTTTTTGGAGTCAGGAAGAGCATCAGGGAGTTTCTTGCACTCCACACAGAATTTGAAGGTGTCCTCCATTTTTTTAAACATGTCAAAATATGTTCGGATCCCAAAATCTGCGCTCCCTTTCTTCCCGTCCATGGCTGACCTGTGGGAAAGCATCCAAGGCAGGATTGCTGCTGAAAAGTGAGCTGGCTCCAGTCCAAGTGCCGACCACATCTATATGGGACCTTTCCTAGGGATAAGGACTGGACAAGGGCTGCATAATGTAAGCCACTGGCATCATTAGCAGAGATGGTAGAAAGTGATTGTTGCTTCATTAATGTTGCAATGTTAATGCATTATTAGGGCCTTGGTGCAGTTTTCTGCAGAGGCTAGCCAGAATTTTAATGGCAGCTAACAGAGAATGTCTTCCTCTGAGATGCTTTTAAAAACAGGAGCTTTATCTGTACCTGGGAGGAGCAGGGACTGCCGCTCTAAAGGAGTGTGATGGCCCTACTTTGGGCATGGATAGTAACTAATTCTCACAAGTGCAATCAATATTACACTGATGAAAAAAAAGCAGCATGCAGATTAGAGTAACCTTATGTAAGCCCATGGAGAATTACCCTGAAAGAATTGGGTAAAACTCCACAGTGCAGGTTTAGGTTTTGTCTGTCTGTGTCCATCTTGGGGTCACTGTTTGTTCAGAGTAAACAGGCTAGTACCCGCTCCTGTGCTGCCATGTGGTGAGGCACTGAGCTATACAGAGCTTCATATCCGGTTCCTGATCCTGGTGTAATATACATCAGTTTTGTATATGAGTTGGTATGAACTGGTAGAGACAGACCTGATCTTGAGCTCACTTAGGAGGGCAGCCTAGGTCACTGGAGATGGCACTCCCAGTCCAGCAAGCTTCCCTCTAAGCCAGCTTTGTTTTTCCCTTCTGGTCATGCCCTGCTCAGCTAGTGCAGACAGAGGCCCAGATGTGTTCAAGTCCACATACTGTGCAAGTGTTATGAGGGCAGCCTGTACCTATGCAGACAAGGTCGGGTAATCTGGCATTACTCACTTGTATTCGTCATAGCTTTTCATGTTAAGCTTTCTCAGGATGACCTGTGACAGACCGGGAATGTTGCTGTCCATAGCCTGGAAGCCCAGAGAGTCCATGTTGGGGCCTGTAACCACAGGCTCCTCAGCAGGCTTCTTCTTGGAGCATCTGAACTTGGATGGAGTGTCCTTGTTCCTGTGAGCCATCTCTGCTAGTGCTGGAGTTGAGCCAACCTGGAAGTGGTGAGGACAAGGCAAAGGATAACAGCTCTTGGGATGGGAGAGTGAAGCCTGGTCCTCAGGGTCTCCTTCCCTGTTTTTCAGTGGGCTTCTCCTGCTACCCCAAGGAGCTGTTACCTAGCATGCTCTGTGCA